ATTATGCGGTTTGGAGGAGGAGGAGGAGGAGGAGGAAGGGAATGGTTGGCAAGCCTGGAGTCAAACACATTGGGGAAACAAAGGAAATAGAGGCTCCCACTTTGGATAGGAAGTCCCTTCCCAGCAAGGGGATGGGACAGGTCGGTGCCACTAGGAAAGAGTGGGTAAGAGGGGTACCCTTAAAGATACAGCTATGTGGTAGGTTTGGTGAGGTTGGCAAGGCAATATGTCTTATACCCTGAAAATAGGGGAATGAGGAGGGTTGGATCCCCAAAACTCCATCAGGACTGAAAAAGTGGCCCCAGTGTCTGGAAGGAAGGAGATGAGTCACTCTATACTGTGATGACTACCTGAGGCTTCCTGTCAGAGATGGTGGTGGTCAGGCCAAGGAAGCCTGGAACTCCTCAGTGGTCCAGGGCCAGACCTAGGTGTTCGGCTAGAGGGCAATCTTGGCCTGATGTTCCCATGCTAGAAAGGACATGAGGACAGTCAGTGACCCAATGTTCCTCTTGATGGCTCCATGGGCCATGTCTGAATGGTTTGCAAGGGTCCAGACAGACCTGGACCCGATGACCCTTCTGACAGCATTTGAAACAGGGACCTGGAGGTTTGGGGGCTTTGGGGGCCTGGGAAGCTGCTATAGCCAGATGAAAGGCCTTAGCTATCAGGTAGTTTTGTTTTCAGGCTTTCTCATCTCTCCCGTGGTATGCACACCTTGAAGGCCATGGCTAAGACTTCTCCCTGTGGAGTCAGGGGTCCTTTCTCTAGACATTTAAATTAGGCCCTAATATCAGGGAAACTCTGGGAGAAGAAGCAGGTCATAAGGAGTTGTTTGCCATCAGGGGTCCTGAGATCCAGATGGGTATAAGAGGGCCTTTGTAAGGCAGTCTAGGAATTGAGGTGGGTTTTGGTGTTTATCCTGGATGGCCTCTTGGCTTTTTTCATAAATTACTGCTCTAAGGGTAGCCTTGCAGAGACCAGTTAGGAGGCAGGTTATAAATTAATTCTTGGCTAGGATGTCCCCTAGGGTATTGTAATTCCATTCAGGGTTCCCAGGGCACAGCCTCAGCCCTGACCGGGTGGGTGGCATTAGTTTGGTGGGTTTCGTCTGCATGTGCCCTATCCTGGTGCCAGGCTTGCCTGTGCGTCTCTGGGAGAAAACTGTCGGTGAGACTCATAAACATCATGGAAGGTGAGGTTGTGAGATTGGGTAATATACTGGCATTCTTAATAAAGGTGGGAGAATTAGTGGGACAGGACGCCAATCTCTTTTCTATCTGAGAGTTGACTTAATGAGAAGGGGACATGTACTCTGACCAAGCCGTCCACTGTGGCAACCTCCCACAAGGGAGAACCATGGCCTGTTTAGGCCAGGTAGCGGGAGAAAAGGGGGTTCCGTGGCGGAGCAGGAGCAAGCAGCAAGAGGACTAAGGGCTGCCAGTGGACAGCCAAGAGGGTCGATTTAGGTGGCCTATAGCTGAGGAGGGGGGCACGGAAACAGAAGAGGCCAGAGCAGGAGAGAAGGGACTGTGGGTTGAGGTTGGTAAGTGCTGGAATTCCTGGCCACTCCCCCAGCTACATGACTGCACATGCGCTGTCCAGTAGCCAAGCAAGAGGCTTAGTCATACCGGGGCCTTACGTCCTACGTAATCTGTGCACTGCGTGGTCACATCATTTACGCACGGTGTGATCATGTAATCTATGCACGTGCGTGGCATAGCTACGTAAGCCCATATGCACATGTGCGAGGGAATCCATAAAAAGCAGGTCACAGACTCCTCCCCGCTTTCCTTCTTCCTCTCTCTCCCTGCACAATCTTCCATAGGCCTAAGCACATTCCCCTCTGTTCCTTCTCTTAATAAAGTCTTTGTCTTAATAAAGGCTTTGTTGTGCCTTGTGGCTTTTCTCACACGGTAAACTGCAGTGCTTAATGAATAACACAGTGCAGCATAATAACTAACCATAAGGAGGAGGATCTTTAGCATAATCAAACATAGTGGAAGAATCATCTGGTTTGGGCTTTATACCTAGGGAGAACTGGTTTTTCCTTGGTTGGCTTATGCCATGTGGTCACTTTTAATCAAGATGGACGTGAAGTCACATGTCAAAATCCATCCTTTCCAACCCTAGCAAAGATAGCTGTCAGTCATCATGGCTGCCTCCATCCCAGTGTGCGGACAGTAGCTGATATGACACCAAGCCACATGTTTCCTTTAAAATTACTCAGGTGTAGATTTTTTTTTCTTTTTTTTTTTTTTTTGGTTTTTTGAGACAGGGTTTCTCTGTGTAGCTTTGCGCCTTTCCTGGAACTCGCTTTGGAGACCAGGCTGGCCTCGAACTCACAGAGATCCACCTGGCTCTGCCTCCCGAGTGCTGGGATTAAAGGCGTGCGCCACCACCGCCCAGCCAGGTGTAGATTTTTAACTAGCAACCCCTATGTTACGAGTTTTAAGTGAGCAGGGCGGTGGTGGCGCACGCCTTTAATCCCAGCACTCAGGAGGCAGAGGCAGAGGCAGGTGGAACTCTGTGAGTTTGAGGTCAGCCTCGAGGTCTACAGAGTGAGTTCCAGGAAAGGCGCAAAAACTACACAGAGAAACCCTGTCTTGAGAAACCAAAAAAAAAAAAAAAAAGGGTTTTAAGTGAACCCTTTTGTTACAGATTTTACAGGTTTTTAAATCATACCCAGTATGCTTACAAATCTTGAGGTACAGAAAGTTTACACAATAGTCTTACAAATCTTGAGGTAAGATTTACACCTTAGCAAAAGTTTTAGAGAGTTAAACCAAAACTAAAAGAATATGAGATGAGTAGCAATCGTCCCCTTTGGGTACAGTCTGTCCCTTTATTTAGTTTTTCTCTCCTTTCTTTGTCACACTCTCAGGTGGCTCACCTGATACGGGACAGAGATTTTGGAGGCAACCTTTAAATGAGCATGCTTGGGTCTAGAGGAGGGGGAGCCATATCCCAACTCCAGAGCCAGCTTTTAATCGAAGTGGGACAGCATAAAACAACAGTCTAATTCCCACATACCTAAAAGACACCTGAACCCCTGTAAAACTGAATCTAGCAAACTGTGAACAAAGAAGGCTTAGAGAATCTTAAAAAAAAAAAAAAAGAAATTGGCAAGATACAACTTGCCCACTTTCCACTAAAAGAAGGCTGAGAGATAGGAAATGTTTGGGCCCTGGCTATAGACAGAGGACTCTGAAGGAGGCAGTGGAGAGACACACCAGCCAGCAGGCAGTGTGGCCCCGGTGTGTGCTCGCTGTAGCTGGCCTGCTCTTGCTCTTCTCCCCCTCCTGCTAGTTCCGGCTCCCCACTCTTACTTTGCAGCAAACTTCCAGATCCATCAAGGGTCATTTAAAAGACAGGACATTTACACAGTGTGGCTGGGAGACCAGACCAAAAAAAAAAGCTCGGAGAAGAAAAAAAGAAAGAAAGTTTGAACATAGGGATGGGAGGTTTCTTTCCATTTCCCTGATTGCACGCCTATTTGTAAATGTCCTGAATACTACTGGGATCTAGGGTGCCATTAGGCGGAAGTTTGAATTGATTATCTAAGGGACGTTGAGGCCAGATTGGATTGCAAAGGGAAACAGGTTTAGGCCCTTCAGGCTGGGTGCCAGGTACAGAGGCTGAAGGTGTTTTGAGAGGTATCCCAAAGGGGAAATGAGAGAGTACGGAAGACACCATTCCCATGGATGAGAGAGGGGGCTGGGAGGAAAAACACACTGCAACCTACAGTCGAGGGCATCGCCAGGACTCAGGGAGGCCTGAAGGAAGACACAAGCCATGGGCCATCAACACACTCAATAGGGGTGAGGGGCCTAGCCTGGCCAAGCCCAAGGAGAGACTTGGTGCCTGGTACCAGGGCTTTTGTGGAGGCCAGAAGGCAAAGACTAACACAGCGCTCTAGAAGGGGGGGTCACATCCAGAGGAAAGGGGTCAGGAATGGGGTTGCAAAAGCCATAAAGGCCTAGAGGAGCCGTGGGATTACAGGCAGCTCCAAAGGAAAGGTGGGAGAAGAGGGCAGGAAAGGGGCACAATGGCCTAAGGAAACTGCAGGATTGCAGCTCTAAGGGCCGGGATGGGGCCAGGTGAAGAGAGCCAGCCCTAAAGATTGTGCCTGGGTGTACCTCTGCTTCCAAGAGTACCAGAGGAGGGCTGGACACTCAGTGGTCACTTCCTCTGACTCAGGGAAGTGTTTACACCCACTGAAAGGGGGACCTTACCTAATTGTCACTGGTGGATGGGGTGCTGAGCGATCGGTGAGCCCGAAGGTGAGTCTTTTGAGGGTAGAGTGGAGATGAGGGATAGGGTCAGACCCCGAGGGGGAGCACAGTCACCAAGAGAGCCTATCCAAGTTACACCAATGCAAGTGTTACATCTCTGAGGGGAAAGGTATCCTGGCAGTCAGGAACCAAGGAATACCACCACAAAGTCATACCACACAACAAACCTCACACAAGAGATTTACTGGGAGAGACCCATGTGGCTGCCTCTGCCCCAGACAGAAGCAAGGGAACTGAGCAGAAGTCAGGCTTTATATAGGGTTTCTTTTGTGTGTGTGTGTGTGTGTGTGTGTGTGTGTGTGTGTGTGTGTGTGTTGGGGGGGCAGGGCGGAGCTTTCCAGGGTGACGGGATTGGTGGGGTTTTTGTGACCTGATCTTGGGGCAAGCTCACGATTGGTGGGATTCTTTTTCTTGGCCCTAGTCTTGGATTTGGGGTCAAGTCAGGGTCAGGGTGTTCTTTCCTTGGCCCTAATCTCAAGGTCAAGTCAGGGTCAGGATGTTCTTTCCCTTGGCCCTGGTTTTGGAGTCAAGTCAGGGTGGGGGTGTTCTCTTTTTGGCTCTTTTACCCTATACCTTTCCTTCTCCAAGCTCTGGGATTGCTGGGATGTGCCAACACACCCAGCTTGCTTTGTTTTTATAAATGTTGAAATATATTTCACGAGTACTTCTGGGTGTCAAAAACATAAGAAAAATGGAATTCTGTGAACTCATTTTAATATTTCAGAGATCTTCACAGAAACTGTACATTTATCAGGAATAAGGCTGCAGCATGCTAACTACAACCAAGTTTACTTGAACTTTTAAATCACTCGTGGGACCGGCAAAATTGACACATGGATAAAGGCTTTTGCTTCCAGGACTGGAGACCTGAATTGTAGAGGAGGGTTAGAGGGACATAGAGAAGAAAGTGCCTGACACGGTGACTTCTTGCTTCTGGAAGACATTGAGAAGAGAAAGGGTAGGATGGCTTAGGGGTGGGCTTCCAGACAGGACCAATAAGAGAAAGAGGACAACCCTATGAAACACCCAAGGGTCCAGTGAGCAGACTTCCAGCCTTAGCGTCCCTCCTGCCCTGAAGGGATGAAGCGGTAACTTATGCTTTCTCTGCGACTTGGTCTTCTGTCTTCCCAGACATTTTGATTCTTTGTGCCAGGGAACACACTTGGAGGTCCCCTAGAAGACTACCAGCACCCCTGTTACATTTCTTGGGGTCTCTCATCTGGAATTTGAGAAGACCTCTTCTCAAGGTAGTACACCTCACTGAATCTCAAGAAGGACTTGAAAGTGGACAAAATGATCTTTCAGCACTCCCAGGGACCCTTCAAAGTGAGTGGGGCCCCTCATCAGGACTAGCATGGTGGGAACCACTAGTTAGCTCCCACCAGGAGTAAGGAGGGTAGGGGGCTCATGCTCTAAAGGAATGAGGCACTTCATTCTTTTTTTTTTTTTTTTTTTTTTTTTTTTGGAGCTGAGGATCGAACCCAGGGCCTTGTGCTTGCTAGGCAAGCACTCTATCACTGAGCAAAATCCCCGATACTGGCACTTCATTCTTTTGCAGCGGGACAGAGGTTTCTCCCAAGAAAACCAGGGCAGAAGCCTACGCCACCACTCCTAAGTCAAGAGACAAGGCAAACCTTCCTGACCCCGAGGAAATGGTCATCTTCCCAGGAAGGAAGGTGAGAGAAGGCAGGCTCCCCATGCACTACCCCGGGAAAGGTCCATGGGGAAAGGTCATTCCTCGGCTCCATAGCTTCCTCATCCCACCGAGAATAGCTAAGTGTACATACTTGGGGCAGGCTGTCAGGGGAAAGGGGAGATTGTATAGGAAAGTGATATCCAGCTTCCTCTGAGCAGGAGGAAAGAAGCATCTGAAATTTGCATGGAGGCAGCTACAAGAGAGGTAGGAGGGAGAGCTCTGTCTCTGTGTAGGAAAGCTTCAATGGACTTGACAATCCTGCAGGGCTTTAGCTGTTTGTACAACACCCACGTGGCTACTGCTAATACAAATGCCTCCTCTACACACACACACACACACACACACACACACACACACACACACACACGCACGCACCTTCTCCAGCCCAGTCCCTGTTGTGTGTATGGAGTTCTCTATTGCAGGAGACACTGATCTCAGGTTCCCTGGGCTGATGGGGGCGTGGGGAAGAAGATGGCAGGAATGCTGGCTGCGGGGCTATACACACATGGGGCCCTGGTTTCCGTCTCCGCACTCATCGCAACTGTCAATCAGCGGAGAAAATCCGCTGTTTTGTCTCCGCATCATAGTTTTCCTGGTGCCAGTAACAGCTGGAACCAAAGAAGGTGCAGCTTGCTTTGGGTGGAAATCACTGGGTTGTGTTTGGTTGAGGAACAGATGCCTTATGTGTATACATTAAATTGTCCCGTGCTGTTTGAGCTCACTGAGAAGTTCGCTTAGGAGATGGGATTTGTTCCTCTCACTTCAGATACAAGCATGGTGTCTAACAATGTCTTCCCAAGCCCCCTTTCCTGAGCAAGGCTGGTCTCCCGACTCTGTCACATGGAGAAAGGAGAACAACAGGGCAGACAGAGTATAGTCATCGTGAATATTATTGATCTCATGATATAAAACTGTATCTCTATCCGCTACCTACACTCATTCAAAGCCAAGCGCACAGATGGCAGATTGGTCTGTGTACTGTGTGCAGACTGTCTTGTGTTTTCCATAAGATTAATCTTGGGACTTAGCAAACCCCATAGTCTGACAGCATCTACACAGGCAATATTAATTTACTGTGTATGCAGTTCGGATTCAGTCTTCTTTTATAAAGGCCGTGTTAACAACGCCAAGCCAAACAACTACCCTGACATCGGCCTGTGCCTGCTTGGAAAAGATCAATGGCTAGGCTTGTTGACTGTTGGTTTGTTAATGTTGTTATATTTCATAAGACGACTGGATGTTTCTCCAGAATGAAAAAGAAAACTGGAAGCTTGAGCAAGTCACAAAGGTCTCAGCAAGTTACATAAGGCATACAAAAGGTCAAAGCTCATTGATATCAAATTTCAGCTTAAATCAATAGTTATTGGCATACTCGCAGTAACAATTATAAGGACTAGATTAAGTGTTTGGTTTTTGCCCAAGCTTTATCTAAGTATTACAAGCAGCTAAAAGCAGCAGACTGGTGTAACTGACCTCCTGAGTGTTCGACAACCATACCTGGATGCTATACTGATGTTCTCATGTAACACACCCCCAGACCTTAGTAGGCCCCCAGACCTTAGCAAACTGACTTCATAATGGAAGTACCATTTGGATCATAAAACTCAGCATAGCACCACCTGCCTAAATGAAAATAAAACTAATCTATCAAAGTCTATAGTTCCAGGAAAGTCTCTAAGTGTACTAACCTTGCTTTTTGGGTTCTATAGTCACACTTCTGGCTAACTGTTTTTATTAAATAAAATATGGCAACTCAGGATGTTTTTTTGTGCTTAAAAGCTCACCTTGAGAAAGGCTTGGGCTACACTGGAATCTGGAATAACCCGTGTAGTTGCTGGCTAGCTAATAAAATAGTTCTATTGGCTTAAACCCAGTCTTCTCTGGTGGATACCCTACAACAGTCAGAGGAAGAAAAGGAAGAATATTTTCTCTCTTGTTCTCCAGTGAATTAGATCCCAGGGGACTACTAGGTGTAACTGTGGAGAAACAGCTGTTCTCTGGTTCAGGGAGCCATGGAGAACTCACCCAGTGAGCTATACTCAATATCCAGTCTGCAAAGAGGAGGCTCCTGAGTGGAGCCATGATTAAGGAATACCTTGGGCTTATCCTTACACAGATGGGTCCGGTAAAAAGAATGATAGTCAAACAAACAAAGTAACTTTAATTAAAAAAAAAAATAGCAGGGCCTAGTGACAAATATCTGTGATCCCAGCACTGAGGAAATAGAGGCAGAAGAATCAGGAGATCAAGATCATTCACAGCTATATAGCAAGTTTGAGGCTGGCCTGAGATACGTGAGACCCTGTCTCAAAAATAATAACAAAAGCCAAAAGGATACTAAAAGAGAATACAAGCAAAATCTCTCCAAAATATGAAATGAAGTCAAGATAACTGAACCAAATCAAGTCAATATTTAACAAATAATTAGCTAACATTTGTGATATTATGTTACCTAAATTCCTAATCTATTAATAAGAGTATAAAATTTTAAATTTACAGATTCTGGGGCTGTAGAGATGAATCAGCGTGTAAGAATACTTGCTGTTAAGAAGAGGACCTGACTTCAACTTCCAATCATCCATGTAAAAGCTGGGTGTGGCCATACATGCCAGTAAACCCAGCACTGAGGGACCTAGGACATTCTGATGTACCCCTAAAGATTACAACACAACTACTGTTGTCTTCTCCCTTAAGAGTTAATCCAGTTGGGCCTATCAGTTAATTGGCCAGAGAACAATTCTTGGGAAAGCAGATTCACCTGCTAAGGAGATTGGAGGAATAATTATACCCTTATTGAAATAATTTGCTGTGATGACTATTCTTGGTTGTCAACTTGCCTATATCTGGAATGAACTATAATCCAGAAATGGAGGGCACATTTGTGATCCTGATCTTGGGGCAAGAAGACAATATGCCTTTGATTCAGATCTTGAGGCTGGAAGATACATGCCTGTAATCCAGACCTTGAGGCTGGAAGGCACACCTTTAATCTGAGCCACACCTTCTGCTGGAAGCCTATATAAGAACAATGGAAGAAGAAAGGGTTCATTCTTTGCCTGCTTGCCCTCACCTCGCTAGCACATCTATTCCTTCACTGGCATTGAAGCCTTGCTTCTTCAGGATTTCAGCATCTGTAGAAGACCATCTGGGACACTCAACTTTATGGGACTGAGCAACTACTAGATTCTTGGACTTTTCATTCACAACTAGCCATTGTTGGACTGCAGCCTATAAGTCGAGAGAGAGAGAGAGAGAGAGAGAGAGAGAGAGAGAGAGAGAGAGAGAGAGAGAGAGAGAGAGAGAGAGAGAGAGAGATTGATTCCATAAGTTCTGTGACTCTAGAGAACCCCGACTCATACAGATTTTGGTACCAGAGTGGTTCTAGAGAAACAGAAGTATAAGGATGACTCTTTTAAGTGTCTGGAATAGGCTTTTTAATTCACCAGCACCTTCAAATTCACCAGAACCTTCAACTACTGAAACCTCTCCAGTCACTTTCTCTCTTGGGAACTCAGAAAGTACTAAAAGTTCATGGTGTAAACTGTATTTCAGACTTAAAAGAGATAAATGCCTTTAGTTACCTTGATTCATCAGTAGTGAGTGGCAATGGATTTAGTGATGTTATATATGAAACTTTTGACATTTTGGGGGAAAATGCTGCTGTTGGTTGGTTGCTCTTAATCTCTCTGGATAAATTGCTAAAGGATAGGAATGAGCTCCATGATAAACTTAACCAACTTCAGAATACAATGAAGGACAACGATGAACTTGGTGATGAAGTTGGCCGGCTCCAGATGAGAATAAACAGTCTAAAGTTTTCTAAGTGTGCCATGGACGAGAATCTTCTCTCCAGCAGCCACAGAGTTCCAGTTGCAGAAAATGAAACTGAAGCCCTCATTATAAGGTTGGCTGAACTACAGCCAAAATTCAAGTCTCAGCCTCAGTGGTGTCGGCGGTTAAAGTAAGGGCATTAATTGGTTAAGAATGGGATCCTGCCGGGCAGTGGTGGCGCACGCCTTTAATCCCAGCACTCGGGAGGCAGAGCCAGGCGGATCTCTGTGAGTTCGAGGCCAGCCTGGTCTCCAAAGTGAGTTCCAGGAAAGGCGCAAAGCTTCACAGAGAAACCCTGTCTCGAAAAACCAAAAAAAAAAAAAAAAAAAAAAAAGAATGGGATCCTGTCACTTGGGACGGGGATGTGTGGGAAGACCCGATGGAAGCTGAGAACTTTGAACCCTCAGATTCTCAAGGACTTATCTCACCTGAGTACCCTCAACTCCACCCTTTTCACCTCCACTGAGGAAATTAATCCTTCAGTGTCTGCTAAACCATCAGGGAGTTTTTCTGAAGGAAATGTCCTGCAAGACAATACCAATGTCCCTCAAGGCCCACCACTAGTTGCCTCTAGACCTATAACCAGACTCAAGGCAAAGTGGGTGTTCCTAGAGGGGAGGTAGAAAGTGTAGTCCATGAGGAAGTACCTTACACTACTAAGGAGCTTAATGATTTTGCTAAATTGTTCAAGCATAAGTCTGGGGAATATGTGTGGGAATGCATTTTAAGGGTGTGGGATAATGGTGGAAGGAACATAAAACTAGATCAGGATGAGTTTATTTTATTGATATGGGCACATATTAAACCTTGAGTGCCACCATCAAGGACTTGATTTGAGCTTCCATATTAAACCTAGAATGGTTTAATATGGAAGCTCACACAGTTAAAAAAAGGTGTGAAAACCTTGTTTGAATGGTTGGCTGAAGTGTTTATCAAAAGATGGCCTACTGAAAAAGAAGTTGGGGATGCCTGATATCCCTTGGCTTGGTGTTGATGAAGGGATTTTAAGGCTCCAGGAAATTGTAATGCTAGAGAGTGTATACCATGTAAAACTCAATCCTCCACAATAGGAAGACCCAGAAGACATGCCCTTCACGAATCCTATAAGATGCACAATGGCAAGGGGCACCAGCACATTTGACAAGTTTTGTTGTCACCCTTTTCCTTGTGCCAGACCTTAGGGTTGAAGATGCTGCTGCTCAGTTGGATAAACAAATGCAATGGGTTTAATTGGGCCCTGAAATAGCAGGGGCCAGATGGCAGCACAAAATCACCAAAGGCAAGGTGATCATAGTTATTGTAATGGGCAACACAGACAAAACAATGTTCATAATGGCCTGACCCATAATGCTCAGCACAGGCAAGGAGAATTTTATAGTGGCATGACTTGTATGGACCTTTGTTACTGGCTAATCAATCATGGTGTTTCCAGGTATGAAATAGATAAGAATTCTACTGCATTTCTGTTCGATCTGTACAAGCAGGAAAATTCTCAAACAAAAGAAAGTAAGGCTGCATTGGATCATGGCAAAAGGCAGTCAATCTGGGCCAATGAATCAATTTCAAAACAGACTTGAGCCTGTTTGCAGACCCCAAACCCCTTGAACGAAGGGGTGGCCAGGTTCCCCCAAGGAAGAACCCTGATTAGGTACCTAAAAGTTTAGCCTTTCTCCAATTCTTCCTCAGAGGCACCTACGGCCTTTACAGGGTAAGTATACACTAAAAGAAAGGAAACAATCAGACTTCCAGGGTCTGTTGGACCCTGGAAGGTCCATTAAATCTTAAATCCATTGCCACTCACTACTGATGAATCAAGGTAATTAAAGGCATTTATCTCTTTTAAGTCTGAAATACAGTTTACACCATGAACTTTTAGTACTTTCTGAGTTCCCAAGAGAGAAAGTGACTGGAGAGGTTTCAGTAGTTGAAGGTTCTGGTGAATTTGAAGGTGCTGGTGAATTAAAAAGCCTGAAAAAGGGTTCTGAATTGTCACTAATTTTGGGAGACCTCAAGAGACACTGTGGCCCTCCAGTTAAAGTAGGGGCTTAGGGAGGCCAGGTTATTAATGGAGTTGTGGCTGATGTCTGACTCACAGTAGGTCTAGTGGGTCCCCGAACTCATCCTGTGGTTATTTCCCCAGTTCCAGAATGTATAATTGGGATACATATACTTAGAAGTTGGCAGAGTTCTTACATTGGTTCCCTGACCTGTGGAGCGAGGGCTATTATGGTTGGAAAGGCTAAGTGGAAGCCTTTAGAGTAGCCTTTGCCAAAGAAAATAGTGAATAAAAAAACAGTATCACATCCTTGGAGGAATTGCAGAAATTAGTGCCACCATCAAGGACTTGAAAGACGGAGAGGTGGTGGTTCCCACCACATCTGTCTTTACCTCTCCTATCTGGCCAGTGCAGAAGACAGATGGATAGTGGAGAATGACAGTTGCCTATCAAAAACTCAGCGAGGTAGTAACTCTAACTACAGCTGCTGTGCCAGATGTGGTGTCCTTACTTGAGCAAATTAACACATATCCTGGTACATGATATGCAGCTATTAATTTAGCAAATGCCTTTTTCTCAAGTACCTGTCCTTAAGAACCACCTGAAGCAATTTGCTTTCAGTTGGCAAGGCCAGCAGTATACCTTTACTGTTCTGCCTCAGGGATCTATTAACTCTCTTGCCCTGTGTTATAACTTAGTTAGAAGGGATCTTGATGGTCTGTCTCTTCCACAAAATATTAATTACATTGGTTACATTGGTGTATTATATTGTTGACATTATGCTGATTGGACCAAGTGAGCAGGAGGTAGCAACCACTTTGAACTCATTGGTAACACATATGCTTGTCAGAGGATGGGAAATAAATGCAACCAAAATTCAAGGACTCTAGAGAACGCTGACTAATACAACACCCCAGAAGCTCTCACTCAGGGCAGCTGCTTGCTGGTCTTTACTGATAAGTCTGCCCATTTTTTTCTGAGTTTTAACTTTAATCATTTTATCTCCCCCACCCCCATTTTACCTCTTCTTTGAATACGAAGCCCAAATTTAAAACATGTTTGCCCTGATACTCTGGGCTTTCTCAGTGTTTCTCTGAAACTTTCCCTCCATCTGTCCCTTCTATTGTTTGCACACCTCCATTGTTGACCCTAACTCAAAAGACAACTTTCTTCCTGTTCTCCATCTTCTTTTTCTTGAAAACTTCCAGGACTTGTGATTTGTCTACTCTTTGTAGCTAGAGTTTTCCTGCCTGGCCCACGGTCAGGACAAATCTCTCTCACCTGCCAGTCCCACAGTCGCTCAGACCCAACCAAGTAAACAGAGACTCATATTGCTTACAAACTGTATGGCTGTGGCAGGCTTCTTGCTAACTGTTCTTATAGCTTAAATTAATCCATTTCCATAAATCTATACCTTGCCACGTGGCTCGTGGCTTACCGGCATCTTCACATGCTGTTTGTCATCATGGCGGCTGGCACTGTCTCTCCCACCTTTCTGTTCTCTCAATTCTCCTCTCTGTTAACCCCGCCTATGCTTCCTGCCTGGCCACTGGCCAATCAGTGTTTTATTTATTGACCAATCAGAGCATTTGACATACAGACCATCCCACAGCAACTCTTCATGTTTCTCTCAAACTCTACTTCAATGGTCCCAAAGCTTCTTTCTGAAGCCATTTTAAAGTTATTTATCCACAATGCTGAGAAGCTACAAAAGGGAACTTCATTGAAGCTTTTTGTTTTCAATGTAGCCTCTGCTACACTGTCGGAAGACACTGCTGGCTGGTCAGAGGTTACAGCCTCCCCAGGGCCTAAAGCTCAGTAACATGGAGCTCCCTCCATCCAGGAGAACTTCCTGCCTCTACCTGCCCTTATTTGGAGACTGTCTCCGGTCCTGAAGAACTAATCTTATCTAAAAGCTGTCTCTAAAACCAGATGCCTGATTCATCTGTAGCTTGGCCCTTGGCACAGATCTCTGCTCAGAGACTTGTGCTAGGGACCCTACTGCCACATACAAAGCTTTGTGATAGGAGCACGCCACTTACTGCAATTAGGGTTTATCCCCGGGCTCCTTAATCCTTATATATTCCTGATGTTTTGAAATAAAATGAGCTAATTTACCGAAATCTGTCTCTAGGGAGGGCTGTCTCCGTCTGTGCTCATGGACCGCCAAAGATTTCTGTCACCCCATCTGCCTCTTTTGCCTCTCGACCTGGTGGCCAACAGGCTGAGGGGGGAAGAGGACCCCTACACTACATTTTCTAATCTAGAATTGTTTGGTGTGAGTCAATCGTAAGGAACCCAAAAATCTTCCCACAGTTTTGTCTGATGCACAGGCAGAATATATTTGGACCTGAGCCAATGTGGCTAATTGTGGGGCTTCTCCTACCTAAAACTCTTTCCAGGAGGTCACCTGACCTCACTGGGCTGAATGCCTTTGTTATCTCCTTGTAGACTAAACAGGAGAAATCATTGAAACCAGTCCATGATCACATGTGTTCTGAGCCTGAGGCACAGCAACCTGGGACAGAATTCTGGGAAGGAGGACCATCTTCAAGGCAGACAGGATGAAGGAAAAAGACCACTGTGTTCTTGCTCATCTTTCTTTCCTTCAAAAAAAATGTCCCCCTATCCTTCCACTGATTTTTATACATCAGCAAGGAGAGGGGCAAAGGACCTCCCCCTTTCAAGGTTGAGGTATAAAGTATCAACAAGTATAGACCCTTCAAAACACCTGATAGCCACCCCTTTGGCCAAATCACCTCATTATGCAACCCTACTGAACAAAGCAAGCTCAGACTTTCTGACCTTGAGTAAGGCCTAACTAGGGAACCTCTGTGTATTCCCACAGATTAAATCAAGACACTTTTCAAATCCATTGATGGAAACATTAGACAGGTTGTAGCACAGTAGGGAAATCTCTTCTAGGGATGCTCTGGACCACCAACATTCCAGCCTCTCTACAATTGTGTAAGAGTTAATCAAGCTGTTTATAGGGGCTCATGCCTTTAATCTCAGCATTCAGGAGGCAGAGGCAGTTCACGGCTAGCATGGTGTACATGGAGAGTTCCAGGATAGCCAGGGCTACACAGAGAGGCCTTATTTCAAAAACTAAAACAAAAGCCCCAAAACAACAAACATCAAAAACCAACAAACAAAAAACAAACAAAAATTATTTAGTCAGTAAAGTAGCCTTGTAGAAAGTTAAGTAGGCGTGGTTACTTTCTCTGAATTTTTATTTGGGGTGGGGTTAAGGCAGGGGTCAGCATTGTTTGTCTTTCTGCCCAATTTGATCTTCTGTTCTTTTAGCATTCCATTGTGTTCACTTCTCCATCTTAGGTACTTTTCTATCGCTGTAAAGAGGTGTCATGACCAAAGCAGCTTATAGGAGAAAAAGCTGATTGGAGGTTTACAGTCAGGCAGACAGGCACGGTGCTGGAGCCATAGCTGAGAGCTTACACCTGATCCCCAAACACAAGGCACACATACACACACACACCACACACACACACACACCACACACCACAGACACACACACACCACACACATACACACCACACACACACCACACACACACACCACACACACACACACACACACACACACACACACACACACACACACACACGCACCACACACACACACTACACACACACACCCCACACACATACACACCCCACACACACACCCCACACACACACACTACACACACACACACCACACACACACACACTACACACACACACACACACACACACCACACACACACACAGAGTTACTGGGACTGGCATATACTTTTGAAACCTCAAAGCCCACCCTCAGTGACACACCTCTTCTAACAAGGCCACACCTCCTAATCATTCTCTACCAGCTAGGAAGCAAGCATTCAAACATATCAGCCTGAGGGGTCTATTTTCATTCAAACCACTACGCCAATCAATACTAATTTGAGCATCCCTTTTTGTGATACAAACTTAGCTAGGAAGCTATAAAAACAGTTTTATACATATACTAGTCATCGTGCAGTAAAACAAATGATTTGGATGCTTTCCCACTGTTTTTCTAGTATATGCCCATTTGGGTATAGAATTCAACATTTTCAATGCTGGCTGGATGGCTCTTCTGCCCTAGTACACTCCACACAGTAAGTACAGCGATTAGTCACTCACAAAGCTGAGGTCTAAAACTCCGTTTTCCTCCACTCATTTTTATGCTCTGTGTTTCTGAGGGTTACCTTGGGAAATAGAGGGTTGAATTCAGTTTGGTATGCTGATAACAGACATGGCAGGTGGCAAGTACCCCAAGACCAGTTTGAGAAATCTGGCAAATCATCTGAATTCGAATGTTCTATTAATTCAATACATGTTGTCTAGTTGAATTCAAGCAATCCAGAATCTCTCTCCACAACAGAGCCATAATACAACATAACAGTCAATCCCAGACTCCAGAATTTTACAAGCTTTACTAGGGAGACAAATGATTCTCATTCAAATATAATTTTCCCGTTGGTATCTATGCCAACAAACAGCTGAATGCATGGGTAGGTTTTAGCAGCCATAGAACTCACTATCACCTCATTCTAGGTCTACAGACTTCTTGGATTCGTGTTGCTCTACTAAATTCCTAGCAAAGTGGTATGGTTGTTTGTATGATGGAGGTTTTTTGCTTAATTACTCCCCTGAATACAATTCTTCCAAATTACCATGCATATATTGCATAGTACATTCTTACCTCTCATTTCCATATTTTGTTGACACAAAAATATGAATATATAATTTAAGCTCAATATCAGAGAATCTTTGGCTCTGAAAGAGGATGTTTAAGTTGAGTGCCCCACCCTTCTGCCCTCTGCAGCCTTATCAATGTTCTTTCTCCTCACTTAGTACTGTTAGTGTCAAGTACTATTGTGTGCCTCCATGATTGCCTGGACTTCCTCACTGTGGGGTTTACCGAATAGTGTATTTCTGTACTTCTGTATTTTTTTTTTCTGTCTATACGGGAACTTCGGTGAATATAGCAGTCTGTCAAAGTCAGACAGATCTGAGTTCAAAGGCTAGCCATATGCTAGTTATGTGGTCTTTGGTATTTTTCTTAAGTGTCCTAATGATCTATTTCTACATATACAAAAGGAAGATATAGATAGCATCAACTACTTAGAGTAGGGCTAGGTGAGATAATGTAGAAAAGGTGCTTAACACAGTTCCCTGGGACTTTATTTATTTATTTATTTATTTATTTATTTATTTATTTATTTATTCTGGAGCTGAGGACTGAACCCAGGGTCTTGCACTTGCTAGGCAAGCGCTCTAGCTAAATCCCCAACCCCTCCCTGGGACTTCTTAAGTGAGATTATGCAGAAGGGTTTAGAGTCAAGTCAAAATTAGCATACAAAATATATGTCTGGGAACCCCACCCCACCAAGACTCTATGAAATAGACATGCTCAGGGAAAGTGCACATCATATGAATGACCTGTGAAAGTCCAGTCTTGGGGTACAGGAACCACTGAGTGTCTAAACTTTCTGTCAGATCTGGTCCACTTTCCTTGAGAGCGCTCTCTCAATAAATTCTCCCTGTTGCCCTATCATTGTCCACGCATCCCTCCATGTCCAAGAACCTGGAGATGTTATGCCCTGATCGTGGGGACCCCCAAAAGACCACCATGGAGACCGAATCCCGCATGTAAAAAACAAAGAGCCTTTATTTCAAGCTCCAGAGCTTGGTCCCTCTGTCTGTCTGACACAGCAGTGAGAGCAGAGAGCCCTGAAATCAGGTGGGGCAGAGTTTTTATCATAGCAGAGGTTGGGGTGAGGGGATTTCCAGGGTCCAGGACCCTGATTGGCTGACAATTGTCTAGGGGTATCTGTAAAACAAAAAATAGGTGTGTGCTAGACTCAAGGACGTCTGGCCACTTTATCTAGTGGTTGGAATGTTTGGGATGAGGTTGGGGATTTAGCTCAGTGGTAGAGCGCTTGCCTAGCAAGCACAAGGCCCTGGGTTTGGTCCTCAGCTCTGGAAAAAAAAGAAGGAATGTTTGGGATGTCAGGTACTTCCTCACCGCTGGGTAGATCCCTGGGTGGTATCAGCTTAAGGCTTTTCCTGGATCTGGGTATTGCCTGCCAGTAAGCCTGTCACAAAAGCTGTGTCTAGGCCCCTAAGCCTGTCATGGCTGCTGTGTGGTTAAGCTATTTTGGGGCCCCTCGTCCAGACAAATACCTTCTATACTCCAGTCCTCACCTGAACAATATTACCTCTTTTTATCTCCCAGAGACAACAGTTCTGTTACATGACATCATACTAAGCTGTTCATGACTGCAAGCATTGTTAAGTAGTCAACCCTTTCCAGGGTAACGCCCCTTTGAAAAAGAAAAACTCTGGGGGAAGAAGATCAATGTTAAAGGACTGTAATTAAAATTTTCCAATCCTACTCACTGTGAACAATTTTGGAGGGGTGTTAGTGGGAAAACTCTAAAAATATTATGCCACCAGATCATTTTTATTCTGTGCTTACAGTAATGTTGGCCCTTGGCCTGGCAGGACGTCCTGATGAGCTGAGTTCAATCTTTGAAATAGAAGCAGAAACAGAGAACTGACCCTTGAAAGCTGCCCTCTGACTTCCGCATACGAGCCCAGGCACACTCACACCTGCACTCATGTGTGTACATATCAGACACACACACACACACACACACACACACACACACACACACACTCACACGTAATAAATGAAATTAAAGTACAAAATGAAAACGTTAGTGCTGTCCCTGTGTAAAGCAGTAGACACGGAACATTCATACTTCAGCACCAGTCCCTCTTCTGTGTCCTCGGGCCCAGGGCTGACACCATTTATTCCTAATTCCCTCCAGGAGAGGATAACGAACAAGGCCCATGCTCCCTCCCCACAGCACTGCTGTCTCTCCTTGACGATTCCCTGAGTGGATCCAGCTCTTTCTGTTCTCCTCTTCCCAGGACAACCTTTGACCCCGTCTGGCAGGGCCCTGGGTGTGGGTGTGCTGACTTCTGAACACTTAGAGTGAAACCAAGTCATGTGAGTGCTTCCTCCCTTGGCCGGCTCTTCCCAGAAGCCTCTCCTGTTTGTCCTCAGCTAGAACAGGAAAGGGACGTGCGGCAGGAAGTGGTTTGGATTTCTCAGTGTGAACAACCAACCTAAAGCAAAGCTGCTCTAACGGTCCCTAACCTCCTTCCTCTCCACGCCAACAGACTTTTTAAAATTTCTTTCTCAAAAAAAAAAAAAAAAAAAAAAAAAAAAAATTTCTTTCTCCTCCAAAGACTTGTTTTGTTTTAATATATATAGAAGTTTCAGATATTGAAGTACAAAGATGAATATAATCATCACATGCACTTTTAACGGTCATCACATTTTGTCCATTGTGTGCCCATTCCTCCTGATTTTAATATTTTAATTTAAACTTTTCATTTATTATCTATTGTATAATGGTCATATTCCCCCATGCCCTCTCTCTCCCCTGCCATTAGTTCCTGTTGTCTCCTTAGACAGTTTGAATTCTACTTTCACGGCATATATCCATATATAATTTTATCTCTCTCTACAAAACCTAGGAACCACTGATGAGAGAAAACCAACATTTTTCTTCTGATAACTTTCTCACTGTGATTATCTCCAGTTGAACCCATTTTCCTGCAATGACAGAACTTTTTTCTTTTCTTGTGGCTGAAAAAAATCCCATTGTGTATGTGTACCACACTTTCCTTATTTATTCCTCTGTGGTTGGACACTGAGGTTGGTTCCACAATCTAGTTACTATCCAGAGTGCTGCCTTTACTTCATCATTGAACAGTTTTTGTTGCATTTATTGTTTTGTATGTGTATGTGAGTGCACACATGCCACGGAGTGAGTGTGGAGGTCAGAGGACAGCCCACAGGGGTCAGCTCTTTCTCTTCCGCCATGTGGGGCCCAGGAATCAAATTCAGGCGGCCAGATTTCAAGGCAAGCAGCTGAACCTACCAAGAAGAAAAAGGAATAATTCCAGTTTTCTGTTGTGTTTTGAGACAGGGTAGCCCAGGTGGGCCTTGAGCTGTATAAGGCCAGAGATGAGCTTGAAGTCCTTATGCTCCAGTTTCCACCTCTGGAGTAGCTGAGATTACAGGCCTTTGAGCTCCCACTACCCTGTTCTAAGCAGTTCTTAGGATTTGAATCCAGGTCCTCGGATATGCTAGGCCTGTGGGAATTTCTAGCCACTCCCCCATCACCGCACGTGCACTGGCGAGACACTTAGTCATTCTGGGGCCTTATATCCTATGTGATCCATGCGCTGCTACGTGGTCATGTAATATGCATGCAGTGTAATCACGTAATCTATGCACATGTGTGGCACAGCTAAGTAAGCCCATATGTGCATGTGTGGGGGAATCCATAAAAAGCGGGTCGCAGACCCCTCCCCTCTCTCTCCCTGCAGACCATTTCCATAGGCCTAAGCACTCCCTTTCTGCTCCTTCTCTTAATAAACTCTTGTAGTGGGTTTTGTTGTTTCTCGTGGCTTTTCTCCCACAGTAAACAGCGCTGCTTAATGAATAACACAGTGCCGCACAATAACTAACAAGGCCAGCCTTCTAGCCACTGAGCTACATGGACATTATTTTATTATCTTTGTTGCTGAGATATTTTAAAGTTAGCCATGAGTTTATTTTAGTGGAATCTCTGCCCTTCTGGTCCTAAAACTGGAGGTTGGCAGAGCAATCCGGGCTCCGTGAGCTCAGTCTCCCTTCCTTTCCCTGCTCGGTCTCTATTGCTGCCACAGGGTTAGAACCAGGTACAATGAGCCGTCATTAGCTGGTAACTATTCTTCACATAAATATTGCTGACTACCTTGATTGCAGACAGCATTTGACTCTGAGGGAAAGAAGAAAGCTGGAGACGGGAAATATTCACTGGGAAAGAAAAAGTAAAGGCAATGTGATCCTTTTTGACTCATGAATTCAATTAGTATTCTAGAGTGTTCACTGCTCACACAGGTTGCCCCTTCCCGCTTATTCTACAGTTGATTGACAAGGCCGCAGAATGCAGTTCTTCCTGGAAGTTCCCTTAAGTGGTCTCATCGTGCACTTTTCAAAGTTTCTATTATTCATCTCACAAGTTTAGGAAAAGTAAAGTTTAAAAACTTTTCTAGCATGTTTCAGTTGAGTGAATTCTTTGCATAGTTCTTACATTTTCTTCAAGTTGTGGACCTGCTGGAAGGTGATGGCCTTCATCTCCCATAGGTGGATAGGACCTGCAATCCAGGGCCTAGCAGGCTTTCCTGAGAGGGTATTGCAAGTAGTCCTCACTGTACCTGACTAGTGGAGCACTATTGTTAAAGATGAACTTCTCGGAGGCCATGTTGAAAAACTGACTTTTCCATTATATACATATACATATATGTGTAAAAAGGATGGGCCATTACTGTCCCTATGCAACAACTCTCCTCACAGGAAAATAGGAGTGTTGCTGGGAACTTCTGGATTGTTGTTTGGGGGTATATGAGTCAGAAAGAATCGGTCATCATTTCAAAAGGCCTATTTTGTTGTTTTTCTTTTGTTTGTTCATTGATTTGTTGTTTTTTGGGGGGGACAAAGTCTCACTCTGTAATGAAAACTGGCCTTAAACTCACTGTGAAGCCTAGGGTGGCTTTGAATTTGTGGCAGTCTCAGACTCCACCATACTGGGATTATAGGCATGTGGCACCCCACACAGATGATTTAAAATGCTTATTTAGTTTATAGAAGTAGAACCTAGTGTAGGTGGGTTTTTTCATCAGAACTGCTGGCTCCCCAGTAAACTCACAGAGACTTAATAATTAATTATAAACACTTGGCAGATAGCTTAGGCTTATTACTACCTAGCTCTTACAACTTAAATTAACCCATATTTATTAATTTCTGTGCTGCCTCATGGCTTGTTACCTCATCTTCTACATGTCCTGCCTCTCTTGAGTCTGGCTGGTGACTCTTCCTAACTTCTTCCCATTGTTCTCTTAGTCTGGCTCTCCCTCCTAACCTCTTCCTGCCTAGCTATTGGCCATTAACTCTTTATTAAACCAATGAGAGCAACACATCTTCACAGTGTACAATAGGATTATTCCACAGCAACCTAGTAACTTCTGAGGAGCAGAGAGTTAAGAAAAAAGAAAAAGGTTCCAGTGCATGCTCAGAATAGACCACAAAACATCAGGGATAGAGGAGAGCTTCAAAACTGTGTTTTAAACAACTACAGGGTGTGGACAGCAGCTCGCTCATTTCTATCTCTTATTCTCTTGAGTTAATAGATTTATAGAGCTATTCTTTTTTGGGATGAAGAGAGTTCTGGAAAACTTGAGTTAGTCTACATCACCGTGGCTGCAGGCACACATGGGATCATGCCTGGTTTGATACATGGGTGCTGGGATCTGAACTCAAGATCTTCATGGTTGAGCAACAAGTGTTCTTAACAATTAAGCCATCTCATAGGATCTCTCTGTGTTCTTTTTTTTTCTTTTTTTGTTTCTTTCATTGAAAATAGATTTCCCCCATACAAAGTATTCCAGTTACCGTTTCTCCTCCTTCTATGTCTTCCAGTTCCTCACTGTCACCCTTCCATCTGGATCCACTCCGTGTCTGTCTTTCATTAGAAAACAAACAGGCACCTAGGGAATAACAATATAATAGAATATAAAAGACAAAACAAAAATAAATCCATCAGAATAGGACAAAACTAATAGGAAAAGAGCCCAAGAAAAGTCACAATAAATATAGAGGCAGAGATCTACTTGTTTGCACATTAAAGAATTCCACTGAAACACAAAATCAGAAGCCATAAGATATACACAAAGGACCTGTATTTTAAAAAAGAGAAAAAAAAAAGATAAAATTTATATGAGAAAAAGCCCCCACATGACATTATGAGACAAGGAACCTCAAAACATGCCGGTGAGTTTGTTTTCTGTTGGCATCTACTGCTGAGCATGCAGCTCACCCTTAAGAGTAGTTTGTTTCCTCAGTGAGATGTCTTCAAAGGGGACATGATTTACCATTCTCAACCTTTCATTCTTAGATCGTAAGGTGAGTCAAAAACCACTCAGTCCTTCCAAGATTGACACCCATGTGATAAGTGTGGAGTAGAAATAGAATGAGATACACTGAGTAAACCTCACTCCTACCTCTTTAAGAGCATAAGGATGGGTAGGATGTGCTAGCAATATACAACTGGCCACTCTGTTCAGTTAAATAATCTTCACTCTGCAGAGACACACAGCCTTCCAGGATAACAGGGCTTATAATCCAGTCCTCCTCACCAATTTATCACATGAAAACTCTAGGGACTTCATCTTATTGAAAGAAACTAAAATTTCCTTCTTTCCCCTTCCTCCCTCCCCCTCCCATCCTCTCTATTTCTCATTTTTTTTAAATGGGTGTAGTGGTTTATTCTTTTTTTTTTTTTTTTTTTAGGTTTTTCGAGACAGGGTTTCTCTGTGCAGCTTTGCGCCTTTCCTGGATCTCGCTCTCTAGACCAGGCTGGCCTCGAACTCACAAAGATCCACCTGCCTCTGCCTCCCAAGTGCTGGGATTAAAGGCGTGCGCCACCACGGCCCGGCTTGTTTGTTTTTTTTAATGCCAAATGCTGCTGATTGAAGGAGGGAGGAGGTCTTAAATACAGGCTTACAGCACAATGGGAGAACCCCAAAGGGCAGAAGTGCACTACCGATGTTTTACAATCTTGCATCTAAGCTGTTAACACCCAATATGCAGGATACACAGACAAGGAACTTCCCTTAAGCATTTAGGAGGGTGGAACTTGGCAGGGAATTAACATAGGGGAGGACATCAAGGTCAAGGTCAGCAAGCAAGGCAACAGTTACCCAAAACGGGAGCCAGGACCCACAGGTCCCCCTTTTTACTAAAAAATGAGCTTCTGACTTAGGTTGTGTGGGATGTCAGCAGGTCACCTTACCCGTCGTGGAGACACCTGCCCAGGCCACACAGGGGCTTTGTCTTAGGTTGGTGAGCGCCCTCCAGGCATTACCCGTCTCTGAATACTCATTATCATACAGGCTCAATCGTGTGTGAGCCGAAGAGTTAACTGCCCGCAGCTCTCATCTTGAAGGGAATGAAAGACAGCCATTGTGAGTGACCAGGGCCTGGGAACACAGATTTAGGTTACCTCAAATTCCATGTTCCAGTGTGGACACAGTTTCACAAATTTGGTAGTTTTATGGAATGATGAAAGCCATACATTAAGGCAGATTTAAGATACAAATACATTGGTGGGTCCATCAGAGAGGCAGGAACAGCAAGATGCCATCTGATGACATTCTTAGCTTTTGGGTTGGTGGAAGCCAGTGGTTTGCTAAGTTAATAGACTGCAAAAGATTTCTATCTGTTAGTCACAAGATGCTAGTTCAGACGCTGACACAGACAAGGGATGGCTGTTTGGGAAGGAAAGCTAGACCTAGCCCAAGATAAGGTCATTAGCCTCTGGACCTGCAACATTCCAGTCTCTCCACAGCGCTGACATTGTGATCAGCCAATCTCTGCAGACACAGCTTCTTTCAGGAGTTTCTGTTCACAAAGACAAGGATCAATGAGTGGGAGCTGACAGAGCAGGAGCGCCCATCCTGTCCTTCCATATCCTGCTAATGTGGCTTCACAGGTCACTAAACATCTTGTGGCTTCAACTGTATCATAAAACTGGAGGAAGAATTCTAAATCTCATCTGCTAAAGAGGTCAGAGGGCCGTATGAAGTGACTTATGTGAAAATGAACTAAAATATAAAAACATCTACCTAAATCCTCAGATCTGGGGAGGGTCTTTGTAGTGTCTTAACCATCCCCAGGTGATGGGAAACCCAGCCGAAGGGAATGTCTACATGGTGAGCTGACTGCTTTTATTCACCCCGTGCAGGAGCTGATGAACTCTTCTGCTTTGGGTAAACTTTTTCTAAGGGCCGAGTAACCACATTTACAAAATCTGGACTTTTTCTTTTTTCACTCCAAATAGTCAAATGAAATCATGATACAGTTGTAAACTGTGAGAAGCAGTGTTGGAAAGGTGATGCAAATGGAAGACAAAACAAAACATCAGAAACTAACATTCCAGAAGCGATACGAAAGGGCTTACAGCAGTGCGTGTAGGAAACAAGACCATAATAAGGCCTGAAATTCATGCACAGGGTCAGACGGCTCTAAACCACAGGTCAGTGGGCGTAACTCGGAGTAGAACAGTTGACTGATGAAATAAAACTGTCTTCAGTTTCCCCCGGCTAAAGACACTTCCTGTCATTGCCTAAATTGCTTTACTTCAAAGTGTTTGTGGGAGCAGAAATGCAAATTAGCTGAGTGTGTTTATTCTGTGCTGGGAAGAAGGGGAGCGGAATGGGTTCAGGAAACCCGGCTGTGTTTAAAAGCCCACACAGCTCACAAGGAGATAGAATTTTATGGAGAGTGGCTTCTGGGTACTGCTCACAGACAAGAAAGCTCTAGGAGGGCAGAACCAGGGCCACAGAAAGAGCCAGGACTATCTGAGGCTGCTTTCAAGTATAGGTAAGCCCACAGCAGTGTCTCGGGGAGCAATCCGGGGCCTCGTGCACACTAGGCAAGAACTCTACCAACCGAGCCACATCTACTGCCCATTTGGTTTCATTCTTCCTACGTTTCTTTCTTTCCTCTTCTTTAAAACAAAAGCAAGCTCTATCTAGTTTTATTAAAGAAAAGCTTTCCTGGTTTATTTCTCACTGGTCTGTTCTGGCAAGCTTCTGATAACGTCAGAATCACTTGAGTCAATGACAGCCAGTGTACACATGCAGTAGCATTTTCCACATGCGGTGCCCAATTCAATATTATTGCCACTGGAGTGATGGAAGCGAATTTTGGCCAAGAGCATAGTATTCTATTTCAGATTTCCTCAAAGCTGGGCAGTTGTTGACCAGGATGACCAACCAGTTTTATGCTTCCTTGTCTCATCATCTTCAGAGTTTGCTTATACCCAGTGTGTCCTTCCCACTTTTCGTAACAAGGTGAAACCTAGAGTTGGCGACTCCTAAGACCTGTCTTCTTTTCAACTACCATCTTCCTGCCTTAGTTGTGGAACAGGACCCAACCAAGAGCAGCTGCCATGATAGCTAGAGAGTGGGAAAGCGCGGGTGCGTTTCTCCCCTAACTACAAATAGAAGCTCGAGTGGCAGGATGTAGCAGAGGCCTGAGCTGTGACTGGACATTCTTGAAGCTTTACTTTAGGAGCGAGAATGAATCTAGTACTTTTTCTATTCATTTTTATCTCTTTTTGGGAGAAGGTAATAATAACAAGCAAAATCAATCCGGGATTAAAAAAAAATGAATACACTGTCTACTATGATGAGTCTAGTTCTCTAACTAGAGCAAGGTTTTCTGCAAGAATTTCTCTATACTCATTCATTTGTCTTAGCTGTCCTCTTTGGTGATTAGGAAGTAATTTCTGTTTAAGAATTGACTGATGGGCTGGGGCTAGAGCTCAGAGGGAGAGTTCCGGCTTAGCATGTGCAAGGTTCCAGCACCACAAGGAAAAGGATGGAGTGTATCCAGTTTCCTTAGTGATTCCTCAGATGCAAACCTGTTTAATACCACTTTACTGGTCACTTTCCAATCCTCAAAACCCACACCTGATTACACAGGAAAGGAAAATGTGGTGAGGAGGGGAGAAAGGAATGTTCAAGAAAGAGATTCTTTCCTGTAGGTGGGTAGAGCAATGTGGAGAACTGAGTGGAGAATCTGGAGCCTATTTTGCTGACTGTGGCTCACCATGACATGGGTCCGAGATTGTCTCTACATCATGCCTTCATTTCCCCCCTTCTTCTCCAGGCAAAATGAAGGTGACTCTAGTGAACCTATTGTTTATGATGTTGCTGCTGCTGCTAGGCCTGGGGATGGGCCTGGGCCTCGGCCTTCACATGGCTGCTGCAGTCCTGGAGGACAGTGATCAGCCACTGAGTGATTTTTGGCCTAGTGACTCCCGGGACACAGCTGAGACCACGGAAAAGGGAGAAGACACCCGGACCACAGAAGCCCTGGTGCTTGGCTACAAAGAAATGGCACAACCTATTGGGCCAGAAGAAACTGTTCTCAATGAAGATGAAGTTGGAGGAAGTAGAATGCTGAGGGCTGACACTCTCTTTCAGAGCAAACAAGATTACCTGAGGTTTGACTTGCGTGTCAGAGAATGTAACACCTTGATGGCACCCAAGATGAAGGAGCATAATCACAGTTGCATAACCCAATACACATTCATCCATGAGGATCCAAGCACGGTCAAAGCAGTCTGTGACAGTCCTGCGGTGGCCTGTGGCCTCAAGGGGGGCAAATGTCACAAAAGCTCCCGTCCTTTCGATCTGACATTTTGCAGGTTGTCCAAAGCAGGCCAGGTCACTCCCAACTGCCATTATCTGACTTACATATTTGAAAAGGTCATTGTCACAACATGCAGTGACACAAAGCCACTGGAGGTTAACTGAGGCAGCTCCTGCCTTTCCCTTCTCTTCACCTCATTGTCTTTCTTCTTTTGCATTTCCATTTGCTGATGCTTCTGTCCCCCACTTGGGTGCACTATAGAGAAGATCCTGGGAAGAGAGGATGGAGCACCGCTGATCTTTGTCTTCTGAAAATATAATTATTCTTTTCATTAGGGGTCATCCAACTGGCATTTTATTCCGGGGGTCAGAAATGGCAAAACTATGCCTAGTTTCTCCTAGATGTCTCTCACCTTCAGTCCTTGCCCTACAAAGGCCAAGCTGTAGACCCCCACCTTAGCCAAGGTCATCTGCCTGATGCCTGGACTGAGGACAACTTGGGCACAGATTAGAAGAGTTCCGTACATCCTCTACCCATCTCCTTCCTTGCTACCCACATGTGGTAATCACAGACTCCTGGGCCCTGCCTGTACAAAGGCAATGCACTTCTCTGACGCAGACGTAATTAAAGTGATTCTATCTAGGACTGTGTCTGGAAAGCCATGTGGTCAGGCTTCTTATCCTGAGCCTGGAAAATTACAGAGATGGTCGAGAAGAACAAGGGCTTGGATAAGGACCCCCCCTTTCCTCCCCTTCCCCTCTTCCTGTTTTCACAACCTTTCTCTTTGCTCCTCTTTTCTTTGTTTCTTTCTTCTCTCAGACTTTTCTGTCTTCTCCTTTTCATCTACCTTTTCTTTTTGGGCCCTCATTTCTCTAGATTTTTTTTAGCTTCTCAGTAAGCTAATGTGTTATCTGGGCTATACTAGGTAAGCAGATGTTGGTCCCCACAGATTGAATCTGGCATAGGGAGTTGGAGGTTAGATGAAGAGAAAGAAAGGAAGAAAGAAAGAAAGAAAAAAGAAAGAAAGAAAGGGAGAAAGGAAGGAAGGAAGGAAGAAAGAAAGGAAAATAGATAGATAGAAATGACTATTCTTGGTTGTCAACTTGACTACATCTGAAGTTACAAAAACTCACTTTGTAGACCAGGCTGGCCTTGAACTCACAGGGATCCACCTGCCTCTGCCTCTGCCTCCTGAGTGCTGGGATTAAAGGCATGTGCCACCACTGCCCGGCCTAATCTGGGTCTTTTGAGGTGGGAAGATCCACCTTTGATCTTCACCTTTTGGTGCAGCCTATACAAAGCACATGGAAGAAGGATGCTCTCTCTCTGCCTCCTGGCCCTCACTCTTGCTGGCAAGTTCATTACTTCACTGGCATTCGAGGCTACTTCCAGATTCCGTTGTATGCTGGAGACCAGCTGAGACATCAGCTTTGTGGACTGAACATCTGCTGCATTCTTAGACTTTTTGTTGGTAGACAGACATTGTTGGACTAGCTGGACCAGAGTCTGTAAGTCATAGATTTTTGAGATTTGCCACATCCATACTTTCCCATTATCCTTCCTCTGCTTATTATACTTCAACTAAATGTTAGTTATATTTCTATTACTGTCATAAAACGCCTGAGAACTAACTTAAAAGAAGGAAGCATTCATTTTGGGACCTCTGGAAGAGCAGCCAGTGCTCTTAGCCACTGAACAATCTCTCCAGGCCCTATAATTTTGCTTTTTGAAAATCCAAAAGGTTTCAAGTTCCAAAAAGCACAGGCCTCAAAAGTTTCAGGTAAGGGACTGTGTTGCAACATATACATATTATATAATTAGTCTTTGATGAATTTGTTTACATATGATACTAGTTAGGCTGTAAGGTCTCTGTGGGAACAGCTCTATTATATGTTTCTCCCATTCTTCATCAGTACATTTACAGGTCACTGATAATCTACTTAGTGATTATCCATCCAGTGCCTCCTCAGAGGTTATAATAATTACAGTGAAACATAAACTCACTTAGGAGAAGTGAAAAATTCTGATCCTTGTCAAGCGCTGTACGAGCAATGTTTCAAAGGACTGTAGATGGACTCTTTCTTTTCTAAGACAAGCAGGAAGAAAACTGCCATTGTATGTCATGCACACTCCTACAAGCTGTCCCAGAGTCATTTGGCTTTATTTAATTACATTTAATAGAAAAGTAACAAGCTCAGGGATGCCCACTGTATTGGTGACTTTGCTGTTGCTATAACAAAATACCTAAAGCTAGGCATTTATAAAGAAAAAAAAAAAAACGTTTCTTTAGCTCACAATTTGGGAGACTGAAAACCCAAGTTTGGATGTGGTATTTGATCTGGACGGGGCATTTCATTTGGGTGTGGCATCCGAGTGAGGAGCCTCCACAGTCTCAGGCTTTTGTGCACTCTGTCTCCAGTTGGTTGGTGCCGCTTGGGGAGGTTCAGGTGGTGCAGCCTGGCTGGAGGAAGTACATCACCGGGGGCGGGCTTTGAGATGAAAAGCCTCAGGCCACTTCCGGTTTGCCGTCTCTATTTCGTGCTGGTGGTTGAAGATGTGGCCTCTCAGCTTTCTGTTCCTGCAGCCGTTACCTGCTGCTTGCTGCCACGCCTCTCCACCGTGGTGGACTCTTTCCCCTCTGGAACTGTAAACCCCAATAAACTCCTGATTATAAGTTTCTTCTGGTCGTGGGTATTATCATAGCAACAGAAAAGTGGCTGAGACACTGAGAAACTCTTATCAGTTCAGCCTATGGTGAGGGCTCCTTCAGTTGGGTCACAACGGGGCAGGCAGACATCATGGCGCTAAAGGGAGGGATGTAGACCAAGACAAGAAGTTGGAGACGGTGAAGCAGAGAGCTTTGCTCTTTTGTGACAGCGTGGTCTTGTGAGAACAAACTTCTCTGTGTGACCAGCATTGACCCTTTCAGAAGCAGTAGCATCAATGACCTAACTGCCCCTCACCAGGCCTCACCTCTTAAAGGCTCTTCAGCGCTGACACTCCGAAGAGCAAGCCTCTACCACATGAACACTTCGGGAACAATCCTCACCAAAACCATAGTCCCAGCCTCTGTGAGCCAAGACCACCCAATTTACCCACAGCTGCTCTGCTCCTCAGTCGGGACTCACTGTACCTCCCTCTCCTGTCTGATACATTACGGAGTTTGCTTTCCTGTGCTCCTCAAAGGGAAAGATCCAGCTCTAAATAAAGTTTGAGGACTTGGATTCTGTAGTGTATGCCTTTTGTGTCAATCAAAAAGCATTTACAAGCCAGCATGGTGGTATATACTTGTAATCTCAGGACTGGGGCAGGGAAGTCTTGAATTCATGCTAGCCCTGGGATACACATAGAATTTCAGGACAGGCTGAACAGCAGAGAAAAAACTTCAAAAAAACCTCTACAGATTATCTATCATCTATCTATCTCTTTATCTCTTCATCTCTATCTATCTGTTTGTCTATCTAACTATCTATCTATCTATCTATCATCTCAAGCACACATACACACAAATAATTTTTCAAAATAATCCTATTTACAGTTTGAAAATTTTATACAATGTATTTTTTTTTTAAATAGTGTTTTTCATGCAATATATTCTGGTCATGGTTTCCCCTCCCCCATTTCCTCACAGATCCTCCCCACCCTTCCAACCCTATGCTTCCTTTTTCTCTCTTAAGAAAACAATCTCGGGAGCACATGATGGTGTTCCTAACAACGCGGCTCTGGCTTGAAACCGCCTCACAGACCGCTTTTGGCGAGTTCAGGAGGTGTTGAAACCTGCTCAGCATTTTAGGGGAAGGAAGAGTCTGGCAGTCAGGGTGGTGACCAGAGACTTCCTTAAGTGTAGGCAGGCCTGCAAACTGAAGAAGCAGAACCTGAGGGCCCTCTAGACTAATTGGATTACAACTGCCTCCCAGGAATGTGGCTTACAGTCCCCAACATTCATTGTCAACTTAATGAAGTGCCAGGTGGAGCTCAACAAGAAAGTACTTGTGGACTTGGCCATCTATGAACCAAAGGCTTTTAAATCTTTGGCAACTTTGGCTAAGGAGGAGGCAACAGGAATGATTTGCTCCAGCTTTGGGGGATAGAAAGGAGCCTGAGGGCATCTTTTCCAGAGTGGTGCAGTACCACTCAAGGCTGCAGAGCTATGGAAATTCTTATAAACAAGATAGTTGCAAAAGGATTGTCTGTCACCAGTAAGTCTGATTTGTATTTATTTACATTTTAGCAACAGGCTTGAGAGAAAAGGTTTTTACTCAGTGGCACAGCCCAAACCTGCCCTGTAAAGACTGTACAAATTTGCAGTGTTTAAAAAAAGAAAGAAAGAAAGAAAACAAACAGGCAAATACAAAAGACATACAATCAAGAATAAAACAAAATAAACTAGCAAATGAAGAAACAAAGAAAGACCATGAGAAACACATACACACGCAGATATATACACATACACATAAACAAAACCCATAAAAACACAAAATCAGAAACTTTAATATACAAGCAAAAGACATTTAAGTTAAAAAAAAAAATACCGGGGGCTGGAGAGATGGCTCAGAGGTTAAGAGCACCAACTGTTCTTCCAGAGGTCCTGAATTCAATTCTTATGGATTGGACTGCAACAGTGACTTCTGGGCAATCACGGAGGGGCTCTGCTAGATTATCAGCTGGCAGTAGGCTGGCTGGCTTGATGGTTGACGTTTTATAGAATTAGATACAGGGCTGGTCCAGGAGAAATGTCTGGTGATGCATTATTTGGGCTTTGGACGTCCACCTCTCTGAGTCCCTCTCAAGGGGCCTCGACAGAGTGTGAGCTGGTTAGGAACAGTTCCTGGCCCAAGCTCAGATTGTCAGCATCTTTCACTAGTATGGCTGTAGAAGCAACCGCCTGAAAACAACTGGCAGAAACAGAAGCTGCACGTATCTTGAATCTTGAGCATCATTTTCAGGTAACAGTTTTGGTGGGAGGAGCTATTCCTCCAACAGAGGGCAGATCATAAGAATATGGGTTGGGGGCTTAGTAGAATTCAAAGTAAAGTGGGCTGTGCCCTCCCCCAACGGATAGGGTAGCCCATAGGTTTTGTAATAAGTATTCCCAAATTAGGGGACAGGAACAGTCTTGGCATGACTAAGAAGGAGTGGGTCACAGTACCTGGTCCCAAGTCCACCATCTGAGAGAGTCATCCAGGGAAAGAGAACAGTCTGTCCAGTTGCCCCTTGACTGGCTGTTCATAGAGACAGCACTGTTCCAAGTACCTCTGTCAGGACTGGGTGGGCTGTTCCTGGGTCTACCAGGAATTTAACAGACTTGCCCCCTACCTTTAATGTTACTCTGGGTTCCTGGGGGCTCAGTGGAATGGAGCTCTGGCTCTGTCAGTCCTCATCCAAATGAAGGACAGGGTGTTTTTTTTCCTCTTTTTTTTCTTTTCCTTCCAGGGTCATTTTTGTTTACAGTAAGCACATTGGTCCTTCCAGCCTCCGCCTTTCCTTGTACCTCTGGCTCCCCCTGTGGGATCTCTCTTAGTGGTCTCCCTGAGTATTGTCACTACTGCCTTCTGTTTTGTTTTTCTTCTACAGAGTCATGGTTATTGTAAACCTTTGGCACAATCTCCAATAATTGAGGCATATTTATACCCTCAGACCCTTCTACCTTCTGAAGTTTCTTTCTAATGTCTGGGGCCGACTATATAACAAAATCAACATTGGTTCCTCACTGGTTTTCTGACATGTCTGGGTCTGTGGGCGTGAACACCCAGTAAGCCTCACAGAGGCACTCCAGGAATCCAACTGGCGATTCTTGGGGACCTTGTATAAATAACCTCATTCACCTTAGATAGATTGGTGAGTTTTCTAGCAACTGCTTTCAATCCTTCTAACAAGGGCATGCAGAAACTGTTTAGAGTCTTCTTACCTAGGTTGGTATTGGGGTCCCAGTCAGAGGAAAATCTTCTCTATTTGGGATGCATTGTCCTCAAGTGATCCTTTACTCAGGAGCATCTTTTCTCTTTTCTTTCTTTCTTTCTTTTCCTTTTTTTTTTTTTTTTTTGAGACAGGGTTTCTGTGTAGTCCTGGCCATCCTTGAACTCAATCTGCATATCAGACTGGCCTCAAACTCAGAGATTCCCCTGCCTCTGCCTCTCGAGTTCTGGGATTAAAGGTGTTCACTACCACTCCTGGCTGGAGAGAATCTTTTCTATTCTCAAACCAGATCTTGTCCCAATCCTGGGTCATGAAGAGGGTGTCCAGGAGCTGTAGACTTTCATTCCAGGTGGATGATGGGTGTAAAAGACTGTCTCCAGGAGACTAATGAGAGTCTGAGGTTTTTCAGAGAATGGTGGATTTCGAGTTTTCCAATTATACAGGTCATTGGTTGAAAAGAAGACATAAGCCATGACTAGGGTAGAGAAGGAATCTTCAGGTCTTGGGCCTGCTGGGTGCACCTCCCTTGGAGAGAGGATGGGGGCTTCCTCCACCCAGCCAGAGCCATTCTAGTGTGTAGAGGAAAGAGGGGCCATGAGGTGTAAGAGACTACCTCTTCCCCCTGAGCACAGCCAGGGGAAGTATTTCCCTCTCAATGGTCACGGCCAGAGTCCATGCTGAGACATAGGGAGTGGGAAAGTCAACATCCTCTGTGGGGCTGAGAGAACAGACAGAGGTTTGGCTTTCTCTGACCAAACCAAGAGGATTTGCATCTCCAACAAGAGGGCAAAGGTCTTAAGCCAGGAGTGTGGGTCTTGTACCAGAGAAAGTCACCAATCAATATAGGGAAATTGATTGGGGTGGCCAGAGTCTCCAGTCATCATTTTCCAGATGGCCTGAACAGTTTGGGGGTCCAGAGGTGCTTCACTGGTCCACCTGACTCCTAAAGAGGGTCACAGAAGGTTGTGAGTTTTCTGGGTGAGAAAACAAACAACATATCCATCCTCGTCCACAAAACCCTCCGTCTTAGTTAGGGTTCTATTGCTGTGAAAAGACAACGTGACCATGGCAACACTTACATAGAAAAACATTCAGCTGGGGCTGGCTGGCTCACAGTTCAGAGGAGTAGTCCATTATGGTCAGGGTGGGAAGCTTGGCAGCATGCAGTCAGACATGATGCTGGAGAGGTAGCTGGGAGTTCTACATCTGGATCTGCAGGAAGCAGGAAGAGAGAGTGACACTGAGCCTGACATTGAGTGACCTTTGAAACCTCAAAGCCCACTCCCTGTGACACACTTTCTCCAATAATGTCACTCCCTATGGATCTACGTGGGCTAATTTCATTCAAACCACCATACCCTCTTTGAAGTGTTTTAATATGCACTTCAACAGTGTTGTCTTAGTCAGGGTTTCTATTGCTGTGAAGAGACACCATGATCACAGCAACTTTTTTTTTTTATTTTTAAAGATTTATTTATTTATTTATTATACAGTATATAATCTGGCTGCATATACTCCATCATATAGATGGTTGTGAGTCACCATATGGTTGCTGAGAATTGAACTCAGGACCTCTGGAAGAGCTGCCAGTGCTCTTAACCTCTGAGCCATCTCTCCAGCCTCCCTCCCTCCCCCAGCAACTTTTCTAAAGGAAAACATTTAACTGGGGTGGCTTACAGTTTCAGAGATTTAGTCCATTATTGCCCTGGCGGGGAGCATGGCAGCATGCAGGCAGGCATGGTGCTGGAGAGGGAACACAGAGTTCTACATCTTGGTCCACAGGCAACAGGAAGTGAACTGTGTCCCCTACTGACCATGGCTTGAGCAAAGGAGACCTCAAAACCCATTCCCACAGTGACACACTTCCTCCAAGAACACCACACCTACTCTAAGAAAGCCACATCTCCTAATAGTGCCGCTCCCTATGAGGGCCATTTTCTTTCAAACCACAAGGATCTTGGGACTGATCACTCCCCTTATGTCTGTTTCTTTAGCCAGCAGAACTGACAGAAGCGCACGGATAAGCAGACAGTAACAACAACCAGCAGTGCCCACCACGCGGACTTGAGCCAGGGCTCCAGTGACACCTCACGGGGATCTCAGACACCAGCATTAAGGCTGCAGCCAGCCTTTCCTAAGTGTCCTATTCTGAAGGTGCCATAAACAGACCTGCCCTTGGAGGTGACAGTTCCATCTGCTGAAGGTCAGACTCTGTTCCTTTTCTGCCTTCTGTCTCTTTATGCTTTCTCAGAGATCCGCCACCACCACCTTCTAACTCCAGTTCAATCCCAAGAGCCAGCCAGCCCTC